AAAAAACCTATGGATGCCGGCCATGAAAGCCTACGACTTCACAAATAAGAAAAGTTTAGATGCTCAGAGGGAACAGTCTGGATTCTCTGTCCTGTGTGTCTTTTTTCCCATGGGAGAAGTCAGGAGGGAGAGCAGACAGAATCCTACCTTGTCAATGTAACCCTTATGAATTGTTGGTTTGCTCCAGTGAATGGGGAAAACCTAAAAGGGGTGTGTGTGCTTTACTGACTAGTTCAGATGATAAAGAGTGACATTGCTGGAGAGGAGAGGAGTGGCAGTTGCCAGGGATAAGGATTATTCCTTTTTCATCTTGAATTAGGTAGTAGGATTTTCAACTATGTATTTAGGAAGGGACAAAAGGGTAAATTCCCTATGGTGGGGATTTCTATGGTGCATTTGCATTTCTTTTGTATTTTTTATTTAGAGCTTTTAAAGTTTGCATCCAAGATTGCAATCCTGCTGAACAGCATATATAGAAGTGTCTTAAACCAGGGCATCGTGACACCCCAGGTTTTTTTAAAAAAAATTCAAATTTAAATTTAAAAGCATCACATCTTACCAAATTTTCACTTTAAGCACATGAAACTATGTACATGTAAATACATTTAGACTATGTGTATGGTATTGACATCTAAAGATATACTTTTAATTGTGCTACTTGTTTGTGTCACAACTATTGCCACAGTGTTCAGTGATGTCACGATTTATGTGTAAAGTTAGTACAAAAAACATTAATAAAGATTCTGTGTGATATGAGAGGAGGTCAATGGTGGGGTGACACCATGAGTTATCACATCAAGTGACGCCAACCCTAGTGATACCACTGTCTTAAATCAAGTCTTCCACCAGCACTTTTTTGGAGGCAGGGAACTTCGGGGATGGTTGATATATGTTCAGTTATATTATTTGTTATAATGTTGGAAACAAAAATTTGGGACTTCAACTTTGATTGTGTTTGCAATATTTATTTACAAGTGACCCCTTAGAATCCAGAAAGTGGATTCACAAACTTCTCTGGAGAACATAAAACTAATCCTAAATTAGTTTGCCCAGTCCAGAATTCACTTGCCAGCTAGAGGCTTCCTGGTGCTCACAAGCCGGACATGAAAGTACTTGCTTGCCTTGCCTTGATGTTTTCTCAGTACCTGGTATTTAGTGGTAGATTGCCATGACATATGCAAGTTCCATTTTGCTATGATGGCTATGGACAAACCTATTCTTATGGTTGTTGCTGCTGTTACCACTGATGCTGTTGCTGGGCCAAAAGGCAATGTCTTTCCTCTGTAGCTTGAACTGGAACAGTCCAGGAAGATTGTTGTTGTTGTCACTGTGTGCCTTCAAGTTGTTTCCAACATAAGGTGATCCTATCACAGGGTTTTCTTGGCAAGATTTGCTCAGAGGTGCTTTGCCTTTGCCGCCTTCTTCTGAAACTGAAAGCTTGCTCAAGGTCATCCAATTGGTTTCCATGGCTGAGTGGGGATTCGAACCCTGGTCTCCAGAGTCCTAGTCCAACACTCAAACCATTACACCATGCTGGCTCTCTACTGGAGGTTTATACACACTATTGTCAGCATTGTGAGGCCTGTGGGAACCCCTGTGTTACTGCAGGAATGAAGGCAAGCGGTGTGTATTCTGTACCAATTGCCAGCCTAGGACTGCTGCCACACTGCAGAACTAATGCAGTTTGACATCGCTTCCACTGTCATGGCTCCATCCTGTGGAATCTTGGGATTTGTAGTTTGTTGTGGCACTAGAGGTTGTGGACAGAGAAGACTAAATATCTCACAAAATTACAAATCCTAGAATTCCATAGCATTCAGTCATGGCATTTAAAGAGGTGTCAATCTGCATTAATTCTGCAGGGTAGATGCCAACTAGGAGAAGTAGTGGGGCAACTCTTCTTCCCTTCTCTTTCATGTTAGCTGCAACCATCTGTCCACAAATTCTTCTAACAGCCCCTGATATCTGAATGCAACCCAAGCAAAGAGCCACCCACACAAACAAAAGTAAAGGGCTCCCGTATTTTAGGGTACTTTCAAAGAAAGATGAGCCATAATAGTTATAGTGGTAAAATGACACAGGATGTCACCTAATGTCTCCTGTTCCAGGCGGCAGCTCTCAGAGAAGCTAATAATGCAGGAGAAGGTGAGCAAGAGGAACTATTTTTAAGCGCTACCTTTCTATCTATCAATCCATTCCTCCGCCAATCATCTATATAGAGCAGTGCCACTCAAAATGGTGGTCCGCACATTAGTGCAAGTCTGAGAGCCATCTGCAGCAAAGTTCCCGAAATCTATGTGAGTACGATAATAATTGCTACTTCTAGATGGGTAAAAAAAATCGCTGAAAGTCCTAGTTTTTGTTCCTGTACAAAACCAATTTTATTTTCGAGATTCATATGATGTTTTGAGGAATTTATTAGGAGCTCCTAGCTTTATCTTTTATCACTCTTGGGGAGGTCTGGGAGTTATAGTCCAAAAAGGGGTGACTTCAAGCACAGGGATGGGAATTCCGTGGCTTTCCAGATGTTGTTGGACTGCAGCTCTTAGCAGTCTTAGCTCATGGTAAGGCATGATGGAAATTGCAATACAAAAAATCTTTTATTCCCACTTCTCACATTGGTATAAATTAACCAAGTATTTTCTGTAATGAAATGTTTTGGTTGTTTCTACAGATTGTAGAAACACAACCAGTGTGTGTTTCTACTGACTGTGGCACAAATATGGTTCTGATCCCCTGGCACATGTGGTTGAGGAAATGCCAATCCATCACATCAGATAGCTTGAGAAAGATGTATGTATGTAATGTGGTCCTTAGTGCCTCTTCCTTTCCTGAACTCCCCTTGCACCTCTGGGATTTCTCTCTCCATATATGAGTGGAATCTATGCTGGAGAATTTTGAGCATAATTTTGCTTGTGTGGAAAATTAGTGCTATGGTCCTTTAGTTGCTGAAACCTTTTATGTCTCCCTTTTTGTGGATGAGAATACACCACTGTATTTTCAGTCTTCGAAAGGCAAGCCTTCTCTGAGTAAATATATGTAAATATGTATGCGTGTGAAGAGGGAGAGAAGAAGATAGAACAATATCTTTCTACCATTAATTGAATGTCTTCTTTTCTCTGCTCATGCCCAAGGGAAGAGGGAGAAAACAAAACATATCGCCATTCCTCATTCTTTCACAGGCATGGCTTTTGTATATTTGTGCATGCATGCATGGACACATAAGGGAAGTAAAGGAGGAGTAAATGTATCACTGTTTCTCCATCTTGATTCTCGAATTGTAATCTGTGCAGTATTTTGGCTAAAGTGTAGGACTGAGACCAGGAGGATCTAGAGATTTCAGATTCTCTCTTCAGCTATGAAATCCATTAAGCATCCCTGAGTTGGTCAGTCACTGTTGGTTTCAGTTGCCTCACAAAGTTGTTGTGAAGATACAACAGAGATTGAGTGGGGCAAGGAAGATAGCTGTGCATGCTGCCTTAAGCTGTTTGGAGGAAGTAGTAGCAATTTTAAAACAACAGTTTAGGAAAAGTTACTTTTGGACTACAACACCCAGAATTTCTCCCTGCAACTCCCTGAGTCCCTCAGATCCCATGCTGGCTGGGAGATTCTAGGAGTCGTAATCTCCCCAAAGTGTATTTTCTGAATTCTGGATAAAAATGAAATGGGTACAATCATCCCTCTGTATCCATGAATTCCTTATCCACAGAATCAGCCATCCACAGCTTGAAAATATTTTGTAAAATATATAAATTTCAAAAAGCAAATCTTGATCTTGCCATTTTATACGAGGGGGGGGGACATTTTAGTATGCCACCCTCTATATTGGGAGAAAGGATATAAGAAAATAATAATAATAATAATAATAATAATAATAATAATAATAATAATAAATAGGACTTGAGCATCCAGGGATTTTGGTATCCATGGAAGCTCCTGGAACCAAACCCCAACAGATACCAAGGGTCCACTGTAGTTTAATCTGAAGGCCAGCATAGAATCATAGAGTTGGAAGACACCGCAAGGGCCATCCAGTCCAACCCCCTGCCATGCAGGAACTTAGTATTAAATCACCCCCGACAGATGGCATCTTATAAGTTGGAAATGGTAGGCAACATCTTATTTTAGCCATTCCTAGTATTCTGTGGCAAACTGCTTTTGGAAAGTGGGCACTGCATATGGCCTCAATGACTACTAGCCATCTGCATGAAGTTGTTGCTAAGCCGCTAAACTAGTGACCATTTCCATCCTCTTGTGGCAATGAGTTCCACTGATGAATTATGATCTGCATGAAGGTGATGCTCATTTGAGAAGCCTGTGTGGACTTCTCAAGGGAGGACCAAAGGGTGCCAGCCTTTATTTTTTTTTTAACTCGTTCCTTCTTGTTGTCCCCAGAGGCTGACCTCACTCTCTGCTCTCCCCACAGTGGCTGTGGACACTACTTTGCACGTGGATTGGAACAAGGCGAAGCCCCTTCCTGCTCTCTCACCCCTTGGCCGCACCCGGATCTCACTGGTGCGCAGGCTGGTTCGCCAAGGCTCTCTGGAAAGCCAGGACTCTCTTGAGGTGCCCATTCTAAATCGCTCTGCTTTTAGGCCCTTGCAAAGAAAGCATTGCTCGCACTTCTTAACTGATGCCACTCTCTGGTATGAATACAGCTCAGGGCAGGCTGATGCATGATGTTGATGATGCATACAGTTGTCCCTCTATATCCATAGATTCATTGTCCACAGATTCAAGCACCCATGGCTTGAAAATATTTACATACACGCACACACACAAATTTCAAAAAGTAAACCTTGATCTCACTATTTTATATAAAGGACACCATTTTACTCTCCCAGTGTATTTAATGAGACTTGAACATCCACAGACTTTGGTATCCATGGGGGTCCTGGAAGCAAAGTCCAGTGGAGACCAAAGCCCACTATATATGTGATCCTGTGCAACACAAAGGGTAGGGGAAAGAAGGGGCACACTAAGCTATCTTATAATGAGTTAGACCTTTGGTCTATCTAGCTCACTGTTGTCTGGTGGTGTAACAGCAAATGTTGAAGTATAGGCACTCATGATGACAGTCCCCACAGCCACACACTCAAGACCATACACCATCCAACTGTCACAGTGTGGAAGGGATAGTCCCCATTAAACCCAGTTTTTCTTTTCCACTCTCTCCCCTTGTGCTCAGCTTCTTTCATTTGTTGCAAAGTGAGAGCAAAGTGCAAAAGTACTTTGCACTTTTATTAACTCAGCAGGAAGGAGAGGAAAGAAGGGGAAGGAATCTTGCCATTCCTAGTAGGCTCCAGCAAAAGCAAACTGATGCAGTCTATCCTAGGCCTCTTCTCATTAATAGCTTTTGCCATATTGGCCACACTCTGATGTTCCCTGGCTACATGGGCCCTGGTTTCCATCTGTGAAATTTGGGAGGTTTCATAAGATGTATCCAAAATGTCAGGCACTTGTGTTCATTTGTTGTTGTTGTGTACCTTCAAGTTGTTTCTGACTTATGGCAACCCTAAGGATATCTATCACGGGGTTATCTTGACACATTTCTTCAGAGGGGGATTGCCATTGCCATCCTCTGTGGCTGAGAGTATGTGACTTGCCCAAGGTCACCCTGTGGGTCTCTATGGCCAAGTTGGGATCTATTTCAATAAATCAATTGTGGGTATTTTTATGTCCATCAAAGCAATCTCCCCCCCCCCC